TTTTTTTTTTTTTTTTTTTGGTTTTTTTGAGACAGGGTCTCACTATGTAGTTGAGAATGATCTGGAACTCACTATGTAGCCCAGCCTGATCTCGAACTCCCAGAGATCCTCCTGCCTCAGCCTCCCAAGTGCTGGGATTACAGGCATGCGCCACCACACCTGGCTCCAAAGAGTCTTGATTTGGGGGGATGTCACCCATAGGGATGATTCATTAACAGAGCTGCTCTGCCCTGAAACAGATAGTGCTGTAGCCCTGTCCTCTAATCTCTGCAGCCTGTGCCCAAACAGCCCTTTCCCAGGTCCCAGTTCTGCCTGCCTGTGGGAGGATAGGGAAGGCAAGCACTGGAGTAGTAATTGGCCCTATGTATGGTGGAGGAAAGCCCGGGGATTTCCAGGAGGCAGGAGCTGCTTATAAAACAGTGGAGATGACTTAAAGCTCCGGCAGGAGGTAGGAGCAATTCCACTTTGGCCACTCTGAAAACCTGAATTGTCTTCCACACCATAATCACATCTATTTTCCTTCTTTCCTGCCTTCCTTTTTTTTCTTCTTCAGTATGGGGGATTGAACTCAGAGCCTCTCACACTGCTCCACTGTTGAGCTCTAGCCTAATCCTTTTAATTAAACAGGATCGCACTAAGTTGCCCAGGGTGGTCTTGAACCCTCCTGCCTCAGTCTTCTGAGTAGCTTGAATTACAGGCAGTATATTTTCTTTCTTTCTTTCTTTTTTTTTGGTACCAAGAATCGAACTCAGGACCTTTGTGATTATGAGGCTGGTGACAGTACCACTGAGCTAAATTCATGGCCCAATATATTTTCACTTTGTTTGTTTGTTTTTTAAACAGGGTCTCACTATGTGGTTGAGACTGACCTGGAACTCACTTTGTAGCCCAGGCTGGTCTCGAACTCACAGCGATCCTCCTGCCTCAGCCTCCTGAGTGCTGGGATTACAGGCGTGTGCCACCACGCCCAGCAGTATATTTTCATTTTGAAGAGTCAAATCAACCACTGAAAAACCATATTTAGCTCTAGAGGCAGATTATCCATGAAATTCTGTAGTTAGACACAGCGATCCCTGCCTCAGCCTCCTGAGTGCTGGGATTACAGGCGTGTGCCACCACGCCCAGCAGTATATTTTCATTTTGAAGAGTCAAATCAACCACTGAAAAACCATATTTAGCTCTAGAGGCAGATTATCCATGAAATTCTGTAGTTAGTTGGTAAAGCATATTTATACACGGTATTTAATGGGACTTGGAAAGGATCCTCTCTCTCTCTCCTATTCTGATATATGACGACATAATAACGTACTAACATCAGGCAGGAAAACGTGCCACGTGCTATCTTCATCTCACCCACGGGGAAAATGAGGCCTGGCAGGTCCATAACGACAGATAGAGAGCCGAGGTTTAGGCCAGGCCGGTCTGAATTACCAGCCTGCAGAGGCTGCTGTCTAGTCTGAGAATTTAAAGTCGTCAGGGAAGAGTGACATGGGCAGAGAGTAAATCTCTTGGGAAACAGACAAGGCACAGGACACTCTCCTGGCTCTCCACACCTCAGTTCCTGGGGAGGGGCCTCTGATGGAGGCCGGGTGTCCCTCCAGCTATAAAATGACATACTGAAATGGACGCCAAATAGTAGCTGTATTGTTCAGAAAGCTGCAGAGCGGGCCCGGCGGAACAACAAGTCAGCAAGAAAGATCAACTGCTTGAAGTGTGTGAGACAGAGACTCAGACAAACCAGCAAACACCTGGCTGCTGTCCCTAGGCTCAGATCTTTGCTTCCCAACTATCCAAAATTGTCAAAGCCCTTCCTGGGAGCACCCCACGAGGGACTTGCACACCTATGGCAGCCACACCTGGAGTAGTGGCAGGGGCCCAGGGAGACAAGAGCACTCAGCAAGACCCCTGGACCCCTGGGGTCAAGGTCAAGCAGGGTCAAGGTCAAAAGGGGCTCAGCTGAGGCTTTCTGATTGTTTACAGGTCCCTCAGGAAGTGGACTCTGGGTGTGAAGACTGAAGGCTTTCTTAGCACTGAATCGAAAGTATTCATTATTGAAGGACATTGATTTCAAACTCACGCCAACTTTTCTTTCAAACATTCATAGTTGAGTCAAGAGGCTCCTAAGTTAAACTACTAAGGACTTTTTCTGATCTTCCTGTGTACTAGACTTTTGCTGACTCTTGATTAGTCTGCTAAGTGACAGCTCTGTAGGGCAGGGGCCTTTTGACCCATCATGTAAAGAAGAGCACTGAGCACAGAGAGGTTAAGGCAGTGCCCTGGGTGCACTCAGCCATCCGTAGATGAGTCAAAGGCAGAACTCACTAAAGTCATCTAAACACCACTGTGACCTCAGCCATCACAAGCCAGGTCCCAGAGGTGAGGAGGCCCTCACTTCTCTCCAGAACGTTTCTGAGCAAGATGCTTAAGCTTTGCTTGGGAGGAAGTGGCTGCAGAATTCAGCATCACAGATGCATAGAGTTCTGAGCAGAAACTGTCAGAACTATTTCACTTCACAGATTGGAAGGGCCAAGGCCATCCAGGAAAACCCCAGGAGAGCTTGACCCTCTGTCTCTCTGATGAGCTGAGTCTTCCCGGGGCAGGAACCAAGCAAGGCAGGAAGCATTCTGACCAGAAGATCATGGCCACCCAGGCCAGCCCCGCTCCGAGCAGATGTGGCCAGAGGAGGCTGGTACGGGACTCCCCAGAAACCCTTTCTGCCCCACCTGCCATCCATGTGACCCTTCCCCAGGAACAGGCAAAGTTAAAAGACAAAGTAGACCCCCAAACCATGACCCCTAACCCTGCACACCCCCGAAGCCCAGGAGAAGAGGGTAGTTACATCCTGGTCACGCTCCAGCTCCAGGCCCGCCTCCAGAAGGTTGCCCTCGTACTCCTCCCTGCGGAAGTGCTTGTCGTCCTCGTGGTAGTCCATGGGGGGCTCAGGCGAGCCGGCCTCTACCTGACTGCCCTTCCCAGGCAGGGGCTGGTCCTGCTTGCTGCTTCGAGCCCCCAGGGCGGCATCGTTGTGCAGGACCCTCCTGGGCAGGGCCCTGCTGCCCGAGGGCCTCTTGTGATGGTACACCAGGATGTAGTCCACCTTGCGCTTGCCGTCCCTGAAGTACAGGCCATACTTGCACTTGGCGTCGGGATCCACAGACAAGGAGTTGAGCAGCTGAGGACAGGAGAAAGCAGGTGGTTCGTGACTCCAGATGCCCACTCACTCATTCATTCAACAGACACAATCCTCCGACCCCGCACAGCCATGGGTTTCAGGTCTACTGGTTCTCCACCCACTTGCTTTTTTCTTGGGTACTGGGGATTGAACTCGGGTCGTTGCGCTTACAAGGTAGGCGGCGGAACCACTGAGCTGAATCCCCAGCCCTCTCCACCCACTTTCAACCGACTGGGGATAGAAAACATTCAGAAAAGCCCTATGTCTGTGCTGAACATTCACAGACCTTTTTCTTGTCATTATTCCCAAGACAAAGCAACATGCCAACTTGAACATAGCATTTCCACAGTATTAGGTGTTTTAAGTCATCTAGGGGTGATTTAAAGTACACAGGAGAATGAGTAGCTTATATGAAAATACTTCACTATTTTATGGAAGAGGCCTTGGCATCCACAGATTTTTGGTATCTGGAGGGGGTCTTGAAGCCCTGAAGATACCGAGGGGCGGCTGTGATTAGTATACGCCTGCTATCGGCCAGGTCTGATCTAGGGGCTGAGATTGCAGAAGCTAGGCCCTGCCTTCCCCAAGCTGATGTTCTGGAAGGTGGCATTTGCTGCTAGCTATGCCAAGTCACACGGCGGTCACCCAGGAAGCCTCCTTGTCTCCAGAGCCAGGACAGGCTACATGAAGGGACCCACTTACTTGCTTATACAATCTACCATGAAAGCTGCATGAGCTTCCTAGGCAGAACTTGTCACACCCGTGGACCTGCCCTCAGGAAGGTTGAGCTCAAATATCTGCCACTGCAAGTTTCAATCTCTGAGCAACATCCGGGGAACCTTGTGTCAAGGCAGCCATGGGACCACTGCCCAGCTGTGTGGCCAGAAGTGTGGCTCTCACTCAAGTCTGTATTCTCCTAAAATTGAGCCCCGGCTAGATAAATGAAGGCAAATCGTTTATACAGGAGAGGCCTCGAGGCATCTGAGGAGGATGAGCAGGAGGGAGGCTGAAAGGTCACTGTTATGGGCAGCTGACTCTGTCCTGCTGGGGACCTCAGAGTGACCTAGAGAAGCACACCCAGGGCTGGTACCCAGAGGTTGTGGAAGCTGCATGGTTTCCTGCCTGCTCTGTGTCTCCTTGGCTGGGAGCCCCTGTCCCCCACCTTTTCTGGATGCCCTTGGGCACTGCCTTCCACATGGCCCTGTTGAGGAGCAGCAGGGAACCAACTGTGTGGATAAGGACCGTCTGCAGGTGCCCTGGGGTGAGAGAGGGGATGGGCAGGGCTCTGGTGGAGTCTGTCCTGCCTCAGTTTCCTTCTTCACCCGATTGAGATTTGGAAGTGGGGTACTGGGGTTTAAAAAGCTAAGCATCCTCACAATTGCAATGTGGTATACTTGTTGCTGAAGACAACCCTGATCACTAGACCTCCTGTGGGATTTTGCTGGTTGTTGAAAACAGGTGGGTCCATTGGCAAGCTGGGCTTTGCTAGCAGGGAAAAATGAATGAAACCAGGGATGAAGCCTAAGGAGCCATCGTGGACCTCACAATGCCCTCAGCCTGGCCTGATCCACTGGCTTCCTTGGTTCCCTCAGCCAAGCACAGCTGCCCTTGATGCCTGCTCAGCCCTGAGACTCATCCTCATCTGGGACCAAGGTCCACCTAGGCGGAGATCCTTGCTGGTGGAGGCATCAAATGCCCAAGGTCAGTGGAGGGGGCTGCTGTCCCTCTCTCCACTTCTGCCAAGCCTCTTCCTGCAGGAGCCTTCCCTGACCATAAGCTCATGTGTAGGGTCCAAACTTCCCCTCCATGCTGCGCACAGCCTGGCTTCAGTTTCCCGTAGGCACAAGGCCTGGGATAGCGGTGAGACCTTTTATCAGGATGAGCCTGTTGAGCTCTGCTCCCTGCTCTGCAACCCCACTGGTCACTGCAGCCCCAGCCCTGGGAAGTCCCGGCTCCCATTATGCCCCACTGTAGCCCTCAGCCACTCTGTTCCCTTTTGTCCCACTCTGACTCGTCCCCACCCCACCCGAGCGAGGCCCGGGCTTCTCCGAGGGCAGGAGGCCGGCAAGGGCCCGCATGTCCCCAAACAGCTCAGGCTCTGCCAACACCTAGGAGGTTGGCCTTCACCTGGTCTTGACCCAGCCCTGACCTGGACACATATCAGCCTGGACGGTCTACCCTGGTTCACGGTCACCTACAGCCCAGGACAGCCACCTACATGGTGACTCTGAAGGGCCGTGCATTTGGTGGTGAGAAGCAGCAGTCTGGAGGGAAGGTAATGGAGGAAGCCTGGGGGGCACATGACCCCCTACACATTCAAGGGCTGGGGGCATGGAGGGGGAAGACATAACGTGGGGCCTGCTGGCCACAATTCAGCTGAGGGGAGGGAGGGGCGCAAGGGTTCTGGGGCAGGACCCAGCGTAGAGGTCTGCCCACCTTTCCCAGGTGTTGATGGCAGGGCCCTGGAATCCTTCCATCTGGTTGGAAGCAGGGGGCTTTATAGCTGGCATCTCAGCATCTCTGGCCCCAAGATGCTGCCCGATTTCGGAGACAGCACTGCCCACAGCCTAGCAGGGCCTGGTTAGCACTTGAGGCCAGCAGGAGGTTAAACCTGTTTCATCAACTTTGATCTACAGTAACTCCGGATCTGGTCCTTGGTGACCTTCAGGGACTTGGACATAATATGGATCCCCCCCCCCATGACACAGCCTTCCAGGTACTTATAGGCAGGAGCACACCTGTGTGGGCAGGTGATGGGGGTGGGGTACGGACCTGGGAAAGGGTGGGGAAGGGCTGGCTTTTGAGGACAGCAGGAATTGCACCCTAGTAAAGGTCTGGGTTCATGAGGACCTGAGCATCTCTTATCTGTAGTCAACAAGATGTGTGTGTGTGTCCATGCAAGGGGGAACTGAGGACCAGCAAGGCGAGCAGGTCCCAAAGCCAAGGAGCAGATGGGACGTGAGCCCAGACTCATCCTGTCTGCACACTCAGGGCACTCCTGCCCCCGTGGCACAGCAACTCGGGTGCTGCTCTTTCTGGGCGTGAGCATGCCATCTCACTGGACGCTGCCCTTTGGGGGGCACCATCACTGGGTCCTTTCTACTTTGAGGAAGTCGAGATTCACATGGGAGAGGTGCTTGCCCCAGCTGCCCACTAGTGGCCCTGTCTACCAAACCTCTACCAGCTGGCTTGGGTGCTAAAGGGCACCGGAAGAGCGTGGCCTTGGTTCTTCCCTGTTGCTTGTGAAGCCAGCTGGGGCAGGGGGTAAGGAGGGCCATATACACAGTGGGTGAGCACAGGCCCGAAGGAAGTGTGGGTGACACCAGGCTGCAGGTTCATGGCAGGACAGGGCAGGCAGGGACCAGTGGAAGCTTGGCCTCTGTCTCTAGCAACTCAGGCCCGTCCTCCGAGCTGCAGGCCTGATTCTCTAGGACAAAGAGCATGGTTCATGCTGCCTCCCCAGCCAGAGGATTAGCTGAGTAGATGACTGTGCTGCTGGGCTCAGCAGCAGATCCAAAACGTGCCTGGGCTAGGCGCCTGAGGGCCATCTCGTTACCCTGCCTTCTGTCCCCTGACCAAGGGCAGACACTCCTGTCCTAGGTATCCCAGGAAGGTCAGAGAAGTGCAGAGTCACAGTGAACTGGCACTGAGGTTCTGTTCACTCCAAAGCCCAGCCCTAGAAGATGAGCCTTGCACAGACAATAGGGTCAGGCCTGCAGGGCCAGAGGGTACCAAGGGTCATGCAGCCTTCAGGGACCCAGGCTCCGTGGCTGGCTGCCATCATCCTGCGGACTCATGGTGCTCAGTGCCCTACACAGGGCTTGGGGACCAGGGTCTGATGATGCTAAGCAAGGGCCAGTGACAGCTCCTCCCTGCACTTCCACCCAGTCTTCCACACCCTGCAATCTCATCCCTGCCCCTTGGTCCTTCCTCCCTGCTGGCATGGCCCCCTTTGTAATTCAACCTGGTCTTCAGGATCCTAAGGTGCCTGGTCACTCTGGCCAATATGGGGTCTTATGCTGGGCTGCCCTGAGTCATCTCTTACAAGTCTTTAACTCGTTGTGGCCCCCACCTGCAGCCAGGCCTGGGACTGCCCTACTGCGACACCACCCAGAATCCATTAGCAGGGGCCTCTGCACCTGCCAGTGGCCCCCAAGAAGGCTCCTGGATGGTAGGAACAAGGCTCGATATGAACAAGGTGGGCAACAGCCCTTAAAGAAAGGGAAGAAATTTGGAAGGGGCCCATCTTGGAAGGGATAGAGAAGCTATCCTGGGTGTAGTCTCACAAGGTGAGGTATGTTCAAGGTGAACCATCAGCACCTGCCTGCTGGGGCTCTCTAGGAGCACGCTTGCCATCAGAACCCAAGTTTTGGGAAAGTAGAAACCTCCCCAGCTTCCCAGCACCAGGAGGCAGAGGCAGCCTGAGGCCTGACCGGTGTGGACACAGCCTGCCTGTGCTCAAGACCAGCTCTGCCCCCAGCTCTGTGCACAGAGCTCAGCATCTCTGTACCCGTCTTCCCCAGATCTCCCTCATTCAGTGGCCTCCTCCAGAGTGTTACAGGATGATTTTACAACAGGCACTGGCAGACAGTGTACACTCAAGAGGAGTTTTATGTTACCAGGGACTGAGAAACACAAATAAAGAACCAGACAGGGACAGGGAAGGACAACCCCATGGTCAGAGTGGACCACAAGGGAAAGATGGCACAGGGTCAAATCCAGAGTTTAAAAAGTGACAAAAGGAGCTGGATGTGGCACCAGGCCCAGCAGGAGGCAGCACTGAGTGCTGTGTGGGGGTCCCAGGGCCTGGCCCCATGGCAGGGTCATTGTGTGGTCTCAGGCAAGATGCTTTGTCTGCTAAGGCTGTTGTTTCATCAATTTGGAATGAGTCCACCTAAATAAGCATTAGAGCAGCAACCTAGAGATAGAAATCGTGGGCTCTCTCCTGACCTGCTCCTCCTAGACTGGGAGGCCTCACGTCTACAGGGCAATTCTGAACTGGGCCAGAGAGCGGGGAGGCATCACACAGCAAGGCCTGCAGAAGCTGCCAAGGTGGCCAAGGGACTCTGTAGGGCCCTTGTGTGGAGCACTGGGTGCTTTACTTGTGTAGAACAGGGTGACAAGGCAAAGACGTAAGCACAATGGGAGGGATGTGGGTAGCCTTTCGCAAAACTTCTGATTCAAAGTTTGAGGAAGACTCAGAGAGTTCCTTTCTGTGTTCTCATAGGCAGGTGACCTCTTTGTGCACCTTGTCTTTGTGTCAAGAACAAGGGATTTTTTCCTTCCTCCTTTTGGTGTTCGGCTCTGAACGTGCAGCTGTGGATAAAGGGACGCTGTATGCACAAATGAGTGAGAACTTGTCTGGGGACTGCAACAGGCAGTGGCCATCAGAGACAAGGACACAGAAGCTCAGACCTAGGCAGGTCAGTGACTGAGACACGACACCTCCTACCACTGAGCCTCAGTTTGCCCTCGGTGGGATGGAGACCTAAATGATTGGGTTCACAGGATGCTCGTGGGATAAAAGGGACTGGAGGGGCCCTGGTGACACTTTGAAGGTCAAGTCCTGACGTGGTGGGGGGAGTTGCTCCTGGAAAGGGCTTTGTGAAGGAAGACAGGAAAATGGTGGGGGAAACATGCTGTCTGAGGTTACCCAGCAAATGCTGGAGGACAGAGGTCACCTTCACATCAGGTGTGCTGGCACCTCCTGTCCTGGCACCACAGACAGTGACAGCCAGTGGGGCCTCTCCAGAGCTTCCCCCAGGCTCCAGGAAGAGGCAGTCAAGAGGCATAGGAACCTTGTGCCCACAGCTGGGGTGCTTGTGGAACTCGATGGCTTCACTTACACAGCTCCTCTCTGGAGCTGGAGCTCCAGGAACAGACACATGCACACCGTGAGAAATCATGATCATCCTAAGGCAGTGGAGGCGAACTTATGGCAAGCGTGCTGCAGCAGGCTGTTCGTTATCACTACGAGGTTCACCATTACTGTCCTAAGGGCTTCTACTATGTTCACTGTCTCAGAAAGTGGGAGAAATAAAAATAAGAGACTATTGGGCTAGGGATTTAGCTCAGTGGTGCCACTGCCTGTCTTGCAAGTGCAAGGTCCAAGTTCAATGCCCAGTACCAAAGAAAAAAAAAAAGAGACAGAGACTATCAATTTTTTTTTTTTCTGTAGTGCAGACTGAATCCAGGGCTTTTGCACTGAGAGCCCAATTTTTTATTTTGAGGCAGGGTCTTACAAAGTGGCCTAGGCTGGGCTCAAACTTGTCATCCTCCTGCCTCTGGCTCCCAGAAGTGCTGGGACTACAGGTGTGCAATGCCACATCTGGCAAAAAACCTGCAAACTTGCTCCTGGTTATAAGACTCTTTGAATTTCAGACCTGAGAGGAACATCGGTTTAAAACTTCACTTTTATTCCATGACCTCTCATATTTGGATTAAACTACAAGTATTACATATCAATGTAGGGTTACCAGGCATACTTGGTCATCTATAAAGACTGTTTCCTAAGGCAGATAAGCAGGAAGTGCCCCTATCTTAGCAGTGGCCGGTCTGGTACTTCTGGGGTGTTAGGACTTATCGGAGCACACAAATCCCCAGGTCATGGATGGCCATCAGTTTGAAGGCAGAAACACTCAAAAATTAACACGATGAAAATTTAATGAAATCAATTGCATTCACTTGGCATCTGGCTTTTGAATTCTTTCTTCTTCTACGTACCCACCTCTTTGTACAATAACAGGTTATTTTCATTCTTGAATGTGGGGATGACAGACAGAGGGGCAGGCAGAGGGATACAGAATGGGAACCACAGCCTGGAGGGGAGCAGCTTGTTCTGAGAGCAATGTGTACACATTTGAGATGCATGTCCACATGTCTGTCTAGGAATAGGAGCTTTTATTTTGGGCAGTATAGTGGACTGGATCCAAGTCCTTCTCACTGAGCTACATTCCCAGACCACCACCCCCCGTTTGAGATAGGATTTTGCTAAGTTGCCAGGTTGGGCACAAACTTTTGATCCTCCTGCTTCAGCCTTCCACAATGGTTGGTGGAAGGGTGGGTGTCACCACACCCA